ACTCAAGGCCTGTAGAGTAAAGAGCAAGCAGGGAAAAAGGGAGCAGTTGTGGTTGAAGATGGGTGGCTGGCAGGTGAGAGAATATCCCAGAGAGAGGTCTAGGTGAGCTGGCAGAAAACAAGTGCATTAAACACATTGGTTCCGAACAAACTGATCAATAAATGAATCGGTGAAAAAGATATTTCTCATTGCGTTTTTTTTCATATGTTTGTTGATTTTTGTACCTCATAGGTGTGACTGCAATCTGTTGCTGGCATTTATGTATTTTGTCCATTTATCAGAACTTTTATTTTGAGGGTGAATGTTTTTGAACAATGTGGTGGTTTGGCAACTTTATATGCTTTTAAAGAACACTTTTAAAGCATTTAAAAATTTTGAATTAATTTGATGGTAGCAATGCTTATATTTGGCAGTGCTTTTTATGGAATTTCAAATACCTAATCTTGGGCTCCAAGTGAATTGCCTGAAAGTGATTTGGTTGAAATGAATATTTCCTCATATTGGTTTATGAATTAATAAAATTTATGTAGCTTGAGGTGATTCCTTTTTACAAATTTGCACATAGTTTAAAGTAATTTTTGTCCAACGTATGGCTGATTTCGCTTTAAAAAATTACTGAGTTCCTTTTTAGCCACAGATGCTGGGGGCCAGCCAGGTACTGCTCAAAGCACTTCACAGATCCTGTTTCATCCCCTCCTCCCCACAGCCTTACCTGGTAGGTTCTGCAAAATACATCTCAGTTTTACAAATAAGAAAACTAAGGCAAGGAGCATAGACGTGTAATTAAGCCACAGAGGTCAGTTCAAACCTTTCTGTCCCTAACTCTTATCTCATGCTTTCATCAGTTTAAAATGATTAATTTTTGAGTTTAAAGTTGCTTCGCTAAAGCCATCTTTAGTGAAAGAAAAAAATACAAGTTCCAATAAGTGCGAAGGCATGTTTATCGTTTATTGTGTACTTTTGGGGGGAAAAATGAAGATTTGAAATAAAGAGAAGTTTTAACATTAGAAGATGAAAGAAAGAAGGGAGAATATAGGTCCTGATCATTTTTCGGTGGTTTCGTCCCTAGCAACCCAGGCATGACAGGACCTGCACCGGGCGAGATCCTGGACATGACACAACATTGTTGTCACGGAAACTGGCCTAACAGGCTGAGCAGGGACAAAATGAAAAATCGAAAACTTTCCACCAATTTATTTGCTCTGCGCGCCCAGGTGCGTTGGGGCCCGCGCCCCTGGTGTCTGCTGCCCCCGTGCGGCCGTGCTGCGGTCCTGCATCCGCAGGGGAGAGTACCTGAGAGCCCTTGGGGAGGAGTCGGAGGCGGGCTTCCTGCCTCCTCTCTCGCCCTGGGTCCTGGGAAAGGGAGGGGAATCTCCGCGGTGCGAGGCAGGGACAAAGGAATAGCGCCTCCCGGCGTTGGGCAAGGCAGCTGCAATTGATAACTGGGTTACCCAGCAAGGTAAGGACAGGGCCAGGAAGGGCGGTATTGTCCAAAGCCACACAGAAGAATAATGCAGGGATGGCCTTGAACCTAGGTATTGAATAGGAAAGAGAAGCGGGTGGAGGGCTCCTTTCTGAAGGATTCTAATTGTGGAGGGAGCTTCTCTGTCGCAGCTCTTGCCGGAGCTGAGACTGAGACTGAGACCTGACTCTGGCATCCTGATGGGACGGGGGAGATACCGTGAGGGGCCGCTCTGGGAGCAGTGGGGCAGAGTGAGGTCTTTTCAACTCCAGCTCCTGCCTGGGCCACGTGGTCCGGGGAGTTTGGTCAAAATGAGGTTGAGGACCATCAACTCAGCCTTAGTGACAAATTCTGGGTACACTGATGCCGGTGCTGGTGGAGGACAAGCCAATGAGGGGAGGAGAGAGAAGGGGAAACAAGTTGCAAATTCTAGTTTTAGTTCTCACCATCTCTCAGCACTTTCTTCCCCAAACTCATTCCTCCTCTCAGCACGACCACCCACCATTTTGAGGTGGGTCCTGACCCCTGCCTCGATTTGCCACTCTTCCTCTTCACTTCTCTGTTGGGAGACAATTTTTCCGTAGGTTTCTCGTGTTTCAGCAAAGGAATTGATTGTTCTTTGTTCTGAATGATTTTTTTCCAGGAAGTCCATGTCTCAGGCAACCTTGGAATATATAATGTCTCCTTCTGGAACAAACCACAGGCATGCTCCAGCATAAGAAAGATAATGTCTTTCTCAGGAGCAAGGTGCAGGCTTGCTTTCTGCCCATTATAAAAGACTTGGGTTCCCTAAGCTCACGGTTTCTCTTCCATAATGCACTGGGTATTTAGGTGTCATCTGGCCCTGTTCACATCACCCTGTGGGATTTGAGACTCAAAGAACCAGTGCAAAATACATCTACTCTAGTTTACTGCTAGTGCTGCGAGGAATCAATTGTCCTCATCTCTAACCTAGGAGTCTCGTGCCTTCTACCAGCACAACTCTGGCAGGTTGACTGGTTAGCTTGCAAGTAGGGTATGTCAATGAAAAAACATCCAGCCTAAGAGAAAGCTTATAAGAGTTTATTTGAGCCAAACTGACGACAATTGCTGGGAAGCAGTCTCAACGGATTGAGAAAATACTTCGGAAAATGGCTGTTTTGCAACTTATTTTATACATTAGAATCAAAGGAGGAAGGTTACATGAAATCCATTGGTTGTAGATTAAGGGGGTGGGAGAAAGAAGTGGGGAAATCTCTGGGATTGGATAAAAAGTACACACACTTCTTTTACATTGGTGGGCACAGAATAGTTAATAGCATTTTACAGCACATAGAGATAGTATTTGGGGAACAAGATAATAATGAGGAATTTTGTAGATTCCTGCTCTGGTGTAGTGGGTTGTGCCCCTTGGGGGGTCTGGAAGAAGAGATTACTCTGATATTGCAATGGTATGTTATCTTAGATGCAAAAAGACAAGATAGGCTCACTTCAGGTAAAGATTGACCTTTGTTAAGGAAGCTACAGGCCAAGGATGATTACAGGCCATGAATCGCTTTTAGTTAGGAATTTTTATGTTTAGACCATCTTATGTGGGTATTTTTCAGTTTCCTGAGCTTGTCAGGTTTAATATGTGGCCCCCTTTGTGTCCACAGGTACAATCTTGGACTTTTCACCATTCTTGACGGCTTCCAATTCTGTCAGCTCTACCTTGTACACAGACCTGGCATCTGTCTACTGCTCTCCATTCCCAGTGCCACAGCCCCAGTCTGGGCTTCTCCCATCATCTTGTGCCGGGAGGGTTTGTTGTTCTGGGTTCCTATCTGACGCCCTCCACCTTTGCCTCGCCCCCCAGTCTAGCCTTCTCATGTAGCTGGAGGGACTGTTCTAAAGCCCACAGTGATTGCCAGTTGCCTTGCTGCTTCAGCTCTTCGATGGCTCCTATCATTTAATAGACTATTATTCCATGACCCACGTGGCTCTTGCTGACCTTACTGCCTACCTTGTGCTCCTTCCTATGCTCGTAATACTGAGTTGGTTGAATCGTGCTATTTATTCCCTCTGCCTTGATCATCCTTAACACTCTCGCCTCTGGAAAACTCCTACCCATCCTTCAAAACTTAGCTCAATGAGTCCTTTCTGAAGCTCCAGTGACCTCTCAGTGCCATAGTGTTGGAGACACAGAAGGTGGGTGAGGGAGGGGCAAGGGCAGAGGACAGAGTGAAAGGATTTTGCACTCTCCACCCTTGACCCCAGCTCTTTCCCCGGGGAGGAAATGAGTAGATGAACAGAACTGCCCAGGGCAAAAGTCATCCTTGACATTCCAGAGACTCATTATGGCAGGCTGCCATGTACAGTTGAGCAGGTTGTGTCCTGCACAACGGTGTCTGACAGAGAGAGCGAGCAAGGACTGAAATCACTCTGTGTGCAAGGGCCGGGTGGCACCCACCCTTCCAATCTGCACAGATGGACCCTCTCCTCACAGAGCCCTGCACTCACAGTGGCATATACACCAGAGGGCATGCTTTAAAAACTTTCCAAAAGGTCTGAGAGCCTTGTCCTGCAGCCTCCTGGGGCCATTTTCTGGGACCCAGACAGGAAAGCAATGTGAGAAACGCTGTGATTAAGGTTCTGGATTCTCCCAGAATTCTAAGCCTTTGATCCCAATTCACAGCTCTGGCAATTTCTCCGAGATGCTCCAGGCGGCCTGTGGCCTCCTGTCACCTCTAGTGGCCCTGAGGGGCCTCACTCAGCCTTGGTGCATAGGAGAGGAGACTGATCTGGGTTCAAATCCTTCAGGGCTGAGGGGGATGGTCACTCCTTATATAATGATAATCATCGTCATCATCATCATCATCATCATCATCCAAACTCCTTTAGTCTAGAATATTATAAATAATAATTTAAATCCAAAGGAAAAAAAACCTCTTTCTCCAGGATCTGTCCCTCTCCAGGACACTCTGAGGTCCATTTTCTCTTCCCTGCTCTCCTCCAGCCTAGTCTCAGAACCCACTGAGAAGTCACTAAGATCTGAGAATAAAGGTCACAACCTCATCCCTCTGCTTTGTGACTGGGGATCAATGTTTAGCAAAAGGCAAGAAGAATAAATTGGGGTGGGGGTGGGGGCTTAGGTAGGGTGCCTTCAGGTTTGGGCAGGTGAGGCTTCCTTCTGCCTCCAAACGTTTTGTTGCCTATGGCCCTGGGTGTAAAGTTTTCTGTTTTCCAGGCCTTGGCTACTTGGGGAGTTGGAAGGATGTGAGGAAGTGCAACCTGTTTCCATCCACACTGACTGCTGCAGCTGCCTGCTGCAGGCCCTGAGGACCCTCCTGGTGCTGGTGCTGGGCAGGCCAGAGGTTCATGGAGCTAGGGGCAGTCTCCAACCAGGAAGTGGACAGGATGTGGAAGACAAATACCCCAGTTTTTGTGCAGTGAAGGGTGGGAGGCAGGTAAAGGGAAGTCTCTTGTGGCAATTGGGTCCCCATGGTAACTCAGCCCCCACCCTGCAGCATCTGTGAGGTCATCTGTGTCTCCCAGCTGGAGGAGGTGTAGGAGGCCAGACATGGAGGCTGTCCCTCCGATCAGATCCAGCCTCTTGGGGATCCTGCTGCTGGTGGTAAAGCTCTCAGTGCTGGTGAGTGGGGGTAGGGGCAGAGGGGCAGGGGCCACACACCTGGTCCTTCATAGCTACCTCAGAGCTGCTGGACCTGGCAACCTGTCCTGACCTGTGGAACGAGGTGACTGCCTGCTTCCTGGAGTGATCTGACAGCTTCCAGAAGCCCCACCCCAAACCGCAGTGCCAGAATTTTCTCTATAGCGGGTCACTCCTGTGGGTTAAGCGTGGGATGAGCGTTGCCCTGGGGTCACTCCTGTGGGTTAAGCGTGGGATGAGCGTTGCCCTGCTCATCCGTGTTTTTTTTTTATGATATACATAATGTGTTTTATTGGACACCTTTACACATGTGGGTGGGACCTATGGGTGGGACAGGGCATCTATGACAGCCTCAGTGAAGTCTCCATGTCAGGAGTTCGAACCTGTCGGGGAGAATTGTCATCATCCCTGTGGCCTGGGCCCATCCCTAACCCTCCCCTGATATAACATAGTCCCTTAAGGAAGCCAGCCCCAGGACAACCTAGGCTCTGCCCAGGTGATCATGGTCTGCAGGTTTAATGGCTTTTGTCTGGTCCACTGAACTGAAGGGAGGTGTAGGTGGTATGGTCCTCATGAGGTTGGAGGGAATAAAGGGCTCTAGCCCCCATAGGGGTGCAGGTGGCCGATGACAGACTTGATGAAGTCGGTTGTGGTGCTGTAGCCGCCCATGTCTCGTGTCCGCACCTTGCCAACTTTGATCACCTTCTTCGCTGCATCTGCAATCATGTTGGAGTGATACTCTAGATTGAGGTGCCGTAGCATGTTGGAAGCTGACAGCAGCATGGCTGTGGGGTTGGCTATATTCCTACCCACCGCCTGGGCAAATGGGTGCCGGGCACCCATTTCAAAGACTGCATACTCTGCACTGTAGCTCTCCTCAGGGACCACACCAGCTCCCCCAACCAGGCCAGCAGCCAGATTGTCAATAATGTTTCCATAGAGATTGGGCATCACCAGAACATCAAACTGGTAAGGATTCTGCACCAGCTGCATGCAGCAGTTGTCTATGATCATTGTCTCAAACTTGATTTTGGGGTATAGTTCAGCAACTTCCTCCCAGCACTGCAGGAATAACCCATCCCCAAGTTTCATGATGTTGGCCTTGTGGACAGCCGTGACCTTGTCCTGCCCCTTCTTAGTGGCATAGTCAAAGGCGAACTTTGCAATCCGCTGAGATTTGGTTCGAGTGACAATCTTCAAGCACTCAATCACGCCCCTTGCACTCTCATGTTCCAGAGAGTTGTACTCCCCTTCCGTCTGCTCTCGAATGGTCACCAGCTCTAGATTGTTGTGTCGAGTCACGTACCCAGGAAGCGACTTCACATGGACTACGTTGGCAAACAAGTCTAACTTACGCCTCAGTCTCATATCTAGGAGGCTAGTTCTCCCTTATACTCCTTCGGGGTGTGGGTCTTTCCAATGATGGCCACCTTATTCTCCTTCATGGAACTCGGCACTTGCTCCAGCTTCTCCTCAGAAGCCGTATTCTGCACCTCACTCAAATAATGCTCCTGGAACTCCACCGGGACACAGGCAGCCTTGAACACCTCCTTGACAGCGTGCATCAGCTCTGGCCCCATGCCATCTCCTGGCAGCATGGTCACGGGAAAGGCGCCCTCCACCTTCACGTCTTCGGCCTGGCTCCGTGAGGTTGCGTGCGCCACCGCCGAGGTACAAACGCTCCTCCATGCCCCGGGGTTCGGGGCTGCGACCAGCGCTCGGGTCAGCCAGCGGGCACAGCTGAGAGCCGCCATGTTCTCTGCAGGAAGTCGCGAGGGAAGTCTCATGTGTGTTTTTAAAACATGCAAATGCTGATGACTGGGGCCACATCTCCAAATCACAACTCCTCAGTGGGCTAAGTTATCAGAAAAGGCTTCCTTGGCTCTGCTGGTGTGGAGATAAAAAGGGGACATTACATGGTGCAGTAGAAAGAGATAGATAATTGGATTTGAATCTTGGCTGCTCCAGTCTTTAGCTGTGTGACTTTGGGAAAATTAATCCACTTCTCTGAGCCACTGTTTCTTCTCCTATACTGATCTTAGAGGATTGTAGGGTATAATAGGCTGCTGTCCTCCCTGGTCTCAACATTATGGTGAGGTGGGGGCAGCTGCCATTTCCTATCTGCATCCCAATTCCTCCTCAAGCTGGACTCCTGGGTTCCCTTCCTTTCCCAGCATGGCTCCACCCCCTTTGCTCCACTGATCCTTTTTATGATGGCCTACACAGCCAATCCCAGAGGGCTGTCTCCCACACCATCTCTTAGGGCTCCAGATGGTCCTGCTGTACACATGGGGTCCAGACTGGTGGGCTGGTGTTACTCAGGTGCTGGGGATTTCAGGGCTCTGAGGAGTGGCTGTTCAGCTCCAGGACTCAAATGAAGCTTTCTCATTTGCAAACTCTATTTTTTTTTAAAGATTTTATTGGGGAATTGGGAAAGGGAACAGTGTTCGGGAATTGGAGAAGTGGAATAGCCAAGTTGTTGTCCTTTAATCTTAGTTAGTGGAGGGCGCAGCTAGCTCAGCTCCCAAGTCCAGTTGCCATCTGGCCGCCCGATGGTAGCTCGCAGCTGCTTAGCTCAAGGTGCCGTGTTCAGTCTTAGTTGTGTGTGTGTGTGTGTGTGGGGGGAGCGGGGGGCAGGAGAGCAGCCCACAATCCCATGCGAGAGTCAAACTGGAAACCTTGTTGCTAAGAGTGCACGCTCTAACCACTGAGCCATCCGGCTGCCTGTCGGCAGCTCAGGGCAGCTCAGCTCGGGTGCAGCTCACTGGCCCATGTGGGAATCGAACCGGAGACCCTGTTGCTCAGAGTTCAGGCTCTCAACCAACTGAGCCACTCTGCCAGCCCTGTCATTTGCAGACTCTTTCCCCACCCAACTCCACTCCTCCGCTCAGTGGATGGGAGACATCATATCCACCCTCACACAAGTCTCAAATCTGGACATCTTCTTGGGTCCCTCCCTCTCCTTCACCCCTCTCAGTAAGTCAGTGATTAATTCTGTGAATGCCCCTCATGCCTCACATCTCTCTACCCCTAGTGACACTGCCCTTTGCTCCCAGCTGCCCTCATGACACCAAGAGTCAACCAATGAGCAAGAAAGCTCAGGTGCTTAGGAGAAGACACTGACCTGGGTTCAAGTCCTGCAGGGCTGAGGGGGATGGTCACTCCTTACATCATCATCATCATCATCATCATCATAAACCAAACTCCTTCAATCTGGAGTATTATAAATAATCATTTAAACCCAAAGGAAAGAAAACCAAATATAATATGAAACACTGTTTAAAGGTCCCTCTTGAGAATGGAGTCCTTAGAAATAGACAGATAAAGATCATTCTTATGTGTGGGGAAACTGAGGCCTTGTGAGGAGGAGGGCTTGGCCCAAGGTGACTTGGAAGCCCCACCCCCATGATAAAACTAGTGGCAGGGAGGGTTTCTTCCCTGAGTGAGTGAAGGTGGGTGATTTTCTCTGCCCCACACTTTTTTTTTTTTAAGATTTTTATTTTATTTTATTGGGGAACATTGTGTTTTTCCAGGACCCATCAGCTCCAAGTTAAGTAGTTGTTTCAATCTAGTTGTGGAGGGGGCAGCTCAGTGGCCTATACAGGAACTGAACCAGCAACCTTGCTGTTATGAGCACTGTGCTCTAACCAACTGAACTAACCGGCCGTTCCTCCCCACCCTCTTCTTGCAGCTAGTCCGGAACCGGGTCCACCTCTACGAGGTTCTGCTTCTCAAGGTCATGCTCTTCAACCACTGGCTGTCAGGGCTGCTCCAGGAGGCCCAGGGGTCCTGTGGCCAGCAGGCCCACTCATCGCCCGGACTCGCAGCCTGCCCTGTGGGCTGGGTTCTACGGGCTGGGCTGGCACTGATAGAGGTCCCTGTATGGTTGGTGCTGAGGGTGCCCAGGCTAGCATGGGCCGGCATGCTGGGCTGTGCCCGAGCCTTGGTCCTGGCCCCGATGCGGCTAGGTGTCTGGGAGTGGCTGGGCCTGTCTGTAGCCACCTGGATGGACCTGCTTCTGTCATGTCTGCACAGCCTGATGCTGGCAGCCTTGTTGCTGCTGCTGCTGACATGGAGGCTGTGCCGGAAGGCCCACCGTTACAGCCTGGGCTGGCTGCCAAGCAAGGTGAGTGGGCAGGGTGCCGGCCAGGCTGCTGAGGGCAGGCCTGGGGCACTGGGCATGGCCAGGGCTGGGCTGGGGGACTAGCAGCTAGGCAGTGCAGCTATGTAAGCTCATGGTGGCCACCTGCCCACCCTCTTGCCCCCTCCAGGCTCTACTGGACAGCCGTGTGGTGCTGGAGCTGCTGGCACCGCTGAAGCATCTTTACTGGTGGGTGGAGAGCACGACAGCGCTCATCTCCTGGCACCTGGCCTATCTTGTCACTTGGATCACCTGCCTTGCCTCGCACCTGCTGCAGGCTGCCTTTGAGCACACAGTCCAGCTGGCCCAGGCCAAGGAAGCTGAGCTGCAGGAGGCCTCAGGCCCTTGGTCTGAGTCCCTGCTCCTTGAGTCCTCTGCTCCTGAGGCTGGGCCAGTCCTGCCAGAGCATGAAACCCCTGGAGAATAAATGTGTCCCTATCTCTCTCTCCTGGTCTGGTCTGGTCTAGGGTCTTACTCTCCATCCCTTTCCTACTGTCTTGGAGGGATATATGTATGCATATGTGTGTGCACGTGCATGTGTATGCATGCATGTGTGCCCTAGGGCTGCCCCTGAGGAGGAAATCACATTCTGTGAGCACATGATACATGCCAGATAACCATCTCAGACACCTTACACATGCAATTTTGTTTAAATCTCATAGCAACACAGGCATCAGGTTTGATTAGCTCCATTTTTCAGAGGAGAAATTGAGCCTCAGAAGACTGAACAATCCCAAGTTCCCAGAGTAAGTTAGGAGAAAGACCGGCACTGGACCCTAGATTTTTTGTTTCCCAGAACCCCTAACTTTCTCTGAGCCCATGCCCCTGGCTTTCAGGATTGTTGGTGTCCAGTGCTTTAGAGGAGATGGGTAGTTAGAGACTCTGGCCACTGAGGGGTGCCAGCGCTTCACATTTAAGAAACTTAGAAAATTCCTTTGAGAAGTAGTTGCTCCAGAGCCAGTCTGTAGCTAGCCAATCCATTTATTTACACACTTAGCCATTCACTTTCCCACTCATCCATCCAGTCATCTATCTATCCACCCACTCACCTATCTATCCATCTATTCCTCAGCCTGCCCACCCACCCACCTACTCATCCATTCATCCACAAACCCATCCACAGATCCATCCATCCATCCATCCATCCATCCACCCACCCACCCATCCACCTACCTATCTATCCCTCAGCTGTCTACCTACTCACCTAGCCACTCACGCACAAATCCAGCCACAGGTCCACCCATCTGCCTCCTCCAGGGTGAGGGAAATACCCATACCTTACCACTCACCCCTAGGTGCCTAGTCTTGCTGAGGGGTGGCTCATGTAGCTTTGAGAGTTCAGGCTACAGTGGGTCAGATCCCCCAGACACTGCCCTTAGGCAAGTGATACTGTGAAGGGGAAGAGATGGTTTCTTGCAATCACCCCCCACTCACTTCCAAGCCTGAGGGTGGTGGGAGATGTTCCAGAGAGCTCTGCCCTGCTTTCTCCTTCCCCATTCTGGTTCCCAGAGAATTTAGGGCCCCATTCCTTCCCTGCTTCCCATACAGACCTGCAGATGGTCCAGGGTGGGTGTGGGGTGACCTTCTAGGCCCTTCCTCCAAGTCTGAGGAGCAGTCCTGGCCTGTCCCTGGGGGAAGATTTGTGGGCTTCCATCTGGCCATTGAGGCAGAATACCTGCAGGAGAGGGCCCTGCAAGGCACTGGTGATTCCAGAACACACACCCAACTTTCGGGGAACGCTGAGTGCGGAAGAGTGAGACGTTGGCCCACTGCGGGTGGGGCCTGGGGGGATGGGAGGAAGTCCCAGAGCAGCTTGTGGAGCTGCATGGGCCTTGCACAAGCGTGGGGTCTGCAGGGCCGGGTCCAGGGTACTGGGAGGGAGGGGCGGGTGGAAAGAGACCTCGAAGGCCAAGAGGGGAGAAGAAGGGTGACGGCAATTGCCTGCCTATGGGGAGAGAAGACCAGAGCCAGGATGGAGCTGGGGGAAGGGCTGGAGGCAGACCAGTGGGGAGGCTCCGGGCAGTGGGGTTAGAGGTCAGGCCGTGTGTGTGATACTGGTATCTTTTCCTTCTATGAGATTTTAAAACATTGCCAACAATACAGAGATATTAAAGGAAAACGTTTACTTCATCTCTAGTTCTAAACTTGAGAGAAACAGGGTCAAGTGCATGCTGCTTCCGTCTTTCCAGCCGTGATTCTTTGCACATATGCAAATCTGCCTGCCTGCTCACTGGAATACAGCCGTAGATTGTGCTGATGAGATCTCAGCATGCTAAGCATGTCTTAGGCAAATTGCATTTTGCATTTGAAAATACCACCCACCCACTTCCAAGTCAATCCACATGGATACCTTATCCTTTGTAACGGCTGTATTGAGGCCTTTAGGTCAATTTCCTGTTTGCTTTTTCCCAGTGTTGCTCTGAAGCATGGGAGGGGGTGGGCCTCAGAGGAACTCCCTGGTGAGGGGATTGGAGGGGTGTATGTTGGGAGGTAACCCTTGCCCTGGGAGCTCCTCTCTGGCCAGCCACATGCTATGCTTCCACCTCTCCTGCTGTATCCCTGGGGGCTTGGGACTGAGACCTCCCACAGCTGGAGTGAGTCTGGGCAGAAGGGACCAGGGCTGGGGCAGGGGCTGGGGGCAAAGAGGTCACAGGCCCAGTCTGCCAGAGAGAGAGGGTCTAGCCTGGGCCCTGGACCTGGAGGTGGGGTGAAGCCAGGAGACCAGCTGGGGCTACGGACCCTGCCGCCCTGAGCATGCCCACTTACTCATCTCGTCCTCTCGAATAGTTAACGCCCACATTGGGCTCCCAAATTGTCTGCTGCTGGTGGCGATAAAACTGCAACTTGGAAAGGCCTAGCCCCTACCTTCCACAGGGGGCTTGCAGAGGGTACTTTAGGGTGGCCATGCCTTGGGCTAAGTACCCACTTACCAGACACACCTGTGAGAGAAGACTTCAAAGGCTTGAAGGCAGAGTAGAGCTGGGAGCAGTTAGGAAGCCATTCTTTTGGACTGGGTGGCTGGGAAGGCTTCCTGAAGAAGGGGCATTTGAACCCAGCCTGCAAGAGAGAAATGTACTGCCGTTAGAGGGCAAGACCCTGGTTGCTGGCCCTCGATCTGCCCCTTGCTGTGTGAGCATTGTCAGGCTTCCTCCCTCTCTGAGCTTGGTTTCCTTAGCTGCTGTTGCTGATCTGCGCCCAGGGCAGGGCCCCAGGCTGGGTTCTGGGACACAGGCTGACACCTGAGTCTGCCCTAGGAAGTGTGCAGGCTGGGGAGCAGGTGTAGCACTGAGTCGGAGAGGCTAGTGAGAGGATGCGGTCCTTTCCGGTCTGAGCTCAAGGCCTGAGAAGAAGACCCAGGGTTGGGGGCAGATGCTTGGGCTCCATGGCTCTGCCCTGTCTCTCTCTGTGACCTTAGATGTGGCTCTGTCCTCTCTGGGCCTCAGTTTTCATGTCTATGAATGTGGGGTGACTGGGTGATCCCTGATGAGACAGTCAACATTCGAAGGACCTCAATGTCCCGGACCCCTCAGCTGGAAGGTGGTCTCGGGCTGGCGAGGAGCCAGGCCTGCATGTGTGGATCTGGGGGCAGGGTCTTGACACGCGCTGAGATCCGCTTCCATGAAACCTATGCTTCCAGGCCTTGAATGCAAGTCCTCCCAGGCCTCCGAGGGTGCTGGTATCCTAGGGCTGGGGCTTGGGAGGAAGGGACGAGGGCGAGAATAGGCCCTTGGCTTCCCCTCGCACACGGTGGGCAGATCAGAGGCCATGGGGTTAGAAAGCCACAGGGTGTGAATCCCGGACCTCCTGGCTGTGTGACCTTGTGTCAGTTCCTTAACCCTGGGAGCCTCAGTTTCCCCACCTGTGAACAGGCACAGTCACAGTATCTTGACCCTCACGGGACTGTTGCCGGGTCTGGGCATGAACAGTACCTGTTCCAGGCCGGCTATAGGATGTGCTGGGAACAGCAGCTTCCTCTCGGGGCCTGCCCCCTTCCCAGAGGCCACGGGGACCCCATTCTGAGGTCAAGGGTGAGGGCAGTCAATCTGTCTCTCTCAGGCCTATGAGTGTGGAGGGGCCCTGGCCTGCTGGGGGAAACCAGGACGGGGTTGGGGGGGNAAGATTCGAGGATTCTGAGAGGCTGCCTTCTCAGACCCTGAGCTTCCTATGACAGGAGGTACAAACAGCTAAGGTGCGGAGGCCAGATATTTGGAGGGTGGGGGGAACTGGCTGAAGGGCTGGCCAGCAGCTCCACGCAATCTGTCTGCTATGCAGTCCCGGGCCTGGCCTGTATTTATTTATGCTGAGCGTGTATTTATATCAGCCCCTTTCTCATTAATAGGGCAGGAAATGGCTGGAATTGTTACATACCTGGCGGCCCAGGGGTCCTGCTGGGCCAAGACACACAGGGCCCTGGCCACCCTGTCATGGCTGAGAGGCCTCCTGAGTCCCAGGCCTAAGTCCCTGGCCCTTCACTGACCCCTCCTTGCGTTGAGTCCCCCTCTACTTCCTTGAGCTCCGGCTCATCCCCTGAGCCCACAGCTCTGAGAGAGGGGCTCCTTTTCAGGCTTCTCCCTGTCTTCCAACTCCTGACCCCATCCCAACCCCAGGAGAGACAGCCGTGTTAGGGGACGTCCCTGTGTGGCTTGTAGGATAGGGGGATGTTGGGGAGACCCTGGGCAGAGCAGTGCGAGTACAGGGCTGAGAAATCAGAGTCCCCTGACTTGGGGATGGGATCCTGGAGCCTGGGGTGGGGTCTGGGCACAGGAGGAGGTAAGGGCATGTGAGAGGGCCCTCCTGAAGCTTAGGGGTAATCCCTGGGTCTCTGCTCCCACCAAGCCGACCTACATGTAGGCTTGGGCAGAGCCTGCAGCTTCCTCCTCATGGAATACCCCCCAGCCATGAAGGGGGTCTCTGTGTGTACCACCCGACAGGGGCTGGGGGTTCATCCCTGTCCTGCCTTCCTGGCCACTATGGCTAAATGAGGCTTCTCTGTTCAGGGCCCAGCAGCCCCCTCCCCGGCCCCCATGCTGCTCTCAGAACCAAGCCAGCATCTCTCTCCAGGCCCCAACTCTTGGGCGCGGGCCCCAGGTGGGGCTGCCAGAGCTGAAAGGCGCGGCCCCCTCCCCAGAGCACTTGCCTGACATAACCTATTAGTGCTTCTCGCCTCAGCCCGCTCCCCCAGCCGGCCTCCCTGCCTAGGCCAGACTGTGCTGGTCCTGCGTCCCTCTCCTCGGCTGCTTTTCTAGGATAGGGTTAGAAGGAGGCTGCGGTACGCCCAACCACCCCAGGGGGGAACTGTGCCTGTTCACTCTTCCCCTCAGTTGGGGTCCAGGGACTGTTATCCACCCAGAGGCCTCTTCTAGGCTGAGCCTTCTGGCCATTGCCCCTTGGTCAGGTGGGCCTGACTTTTGGCCTCTGCCCACTGCA